CCAGAGTCGTTAGCTGAGCCGCCGCCGCGTACGCAGCAGGACGATGTGGTAACCCGCCGGAGAAGAAATTTCGGGCGGCAGACACATAGCTAAGCGCCGGCGAGCTAAAAATGGCGAAAGGAAAAGGACCAACAAAGCAGTTACCGCCAAATTCGAGCCACTGCATATTTGTGAGCCGGGAGAAGGATCTCGGGACAGAGCCAGCAAGCCAGAGATTCGATACACCGAGATCGGTGAGATTCGTCAACTGGCCGATAGAATCGGAGAGGGTTGCGGGGAACTTCAAGCCCGGCTCGCGCGCAGTACGGTTGCAAAGGCGAGGCGTGGGTGGGTGGGGGGGGGGGCGGGAGGGAGGTCGCTGTGCGAAAGATATAGCGTCTGAACGCCGCCGTTGCAGCAAGACACGCCGGGCCACGTGCACGCGTCCGGCTGGTTCGCCGGGATAGGTATCAGCGCGGCCGCGAAAATCGCCTTGAGCGCCGCCGTGTCAGCCGCCGGGGTGTGGGCGCGTAGCAGCCCCCCTCCATGTATAATGCTCTCTCCGCCCGCCTCGCAGCGAGGCCTCGTCCGCGGCGAGCAGCAGGTAGCTTCGATACAAGCTGCCTCGATACGGGCTGGAAAGCTATCGTCACCGGCGGTGAGCAGTAGAGGAGTAGCAGGAGGCATGCTGTCGTACAAACGGGAGCGCGCAACGCGTCGTGAAAAACGGTGATGATGGAATGCGCGACTCGACGGTAATCAACGTCCGCCATGTGTGACTCCGAGTCAAGCGATTGCTAGCTTCCGAAATTTTTTTCGTGAGAAACCAAACCTACTACACAGTTTCACAGTGAAACCTGAAACGAGTTTCCGTTTTGATCGAGGAACTAAGATAAGGGAATGAGTAGAGGCGATACGAAGCTGAGTATTCAAGATAAGATGGCGGTGAGCTTTCCTTTGAGGAGGTGAGTGCACGGCATCCGCCCAATACTTGTCCTACGTGGCAGTTTCCACGGCGGAGCGGAAGACACACCCTGTATGTGCGACGGCCGTCCACATAACATACTGAGCTAGTCATTGCTGCATGGGAGTGTTATGCGCGAGCACTTGATAAGGCTACGCCAATGAAGTGAATGGCTGTTGCTACAGCAGCGGTATGGACGAATGAAATGCACGCGACGGCAGCGCAAGCAACGGCTGGGCTTGGGGTGGCTTGGCTTGGCAGGCATTTATGCTTCTGGAGAGGCACCACTGGCGAGGAACTGTGCGGGTGGAGAGAAGTGGGTGGGAGGGGTTGAATTGCAGCTGTGGTTGGGTTGGTTGTAAGGGATTGGTTTGCTATGGGCTGGTTTGGTATGGGCTGGGTTGCTATGGGCTGGGTTGCTATGGTTTGGATTGCTATGGCCTGGGTCGCGTTGGTTGGGTGATATGGTTTGGGTTGCGCTGGTTTGGTTGCTATGGTTTGGGTTGCTTTGGTTGGTTTGTTATGTGTGGTTTGCTTTGGTTTGCTATGGTTTGGGCTGCTCTGGGCGGATTGCTTTGGGTGGTTTGCTATGGTTTGGTTCGGTTTGGTGTTGATTTGGCTTCGGTGGGGTGAGGGCAACCAGAAGGTTTGTTTGGAGAGAAGAGGTTTTGGAGAGGGAAGGTTCGGCATTTCGGGCGAAGCTCGGGCTTTGGTGCAGCCGAGAGGAATCGAGAGCAAAGAGATTCACGAACGGTAAAGTACGGTCCATTATCGCTATGACTTGACATTGCACGGTGATTAGGCAACGTTGAACGCGCATTGCGTTGTGCCCTACCTAAGACTCCCCCCAACCTCTCATTTGCTCGCGCGCTAGCACAGGAAGCACACTAGAGCAACAGAGCTGAATTGCCATAAGGACCACCTTATTCCAACATATATTACCAAATGGCTGCTGTTGACGCTACTATTTCTTACTAGCTGACTTCGAAATTCACAGCAAATTCACGGTTTTATTTCCTGCGTAGCACTAGCCGATATCATCGCGATTCCTACAGCAGATCGTCACACAACAACAGCATTCGTTCAAGCGGTATTCTCTGAAATCTCATTCGTTATAGGGAATTTTGTCTTTAGCGCTGCGCCACGTGCCATGGGCGTCAGGAAGTGGGAGGTGGTGAGGCCGAGTCTGCTGGACCTCGCCCTTCACTCGCGGGTCAATGTCCTTCGGGATCGACCGCGTAGGTTACCATTATTATTATCCCCTATAGCATTTTTCGTTATCGCGTTTTGTGAGCGTTTGACGAGGAGTGGGAGGCAGTGAGGGCGTTATACTGTTGCCAGAAATGGACCGGGTAGGCATTAGGTAAAGCGGTGAGGCCGAATCTGCTGGACCCCGCCGCCACTCGCAAATCCATCTTCTTTGGAAACGACCGGGTAAGCCGTAAGTAAGCTGTATCCCCGTTGTAGGCTGATTCGTGATCCCTTATTGAAGCTTGTGAATGTTCTGCGAAGAGTGGGATGCGGTGAGCTAGAGCTTGATGGGTCGATCAGCTTCGGTAGTTAGTAGCCGTTATCCCCGCTACGAAACCATTCGTATTGTCGCATCGCGTGCAGAATCTTGATCGTCGCGGGAGGAGTGGGAAACAGTGTGGAAAAACCAAACCTTGATCTGGTAATTCTCTCACATTCTCATATCTTCATATCAACGTACGGTATTCTCACATTTCTCTTCAACCCCAACCCGATTTCCTTCCCTGCCAGCAACCTTGGAATTGTCCTCACCCATTGTATTGCCTCTGTTAATAAGTTTCAAATTATTAAACCTCAAACCGGATTCTTTCCCTCCTTGCCTTTCCACCCTTGGATGTATCCCACGTTTTGAACTGCCAGGTGGCACCATGGCAGATCAAGGGACGGGTTTCGGCCTACGTGGACGTGACAGCTGGCATGCTCGCCATGGAGCTGCAGGACCCGGTCCTCTGGTAGGTTCGGGGGAGCACATGAAGAGGTTCTGTGCGGTGTGTGTAGGTCCTGAGGTGCGTTTCCGTCATCATCAGGTTGTTCGGTCCACCTGAGCGCAACACATATCGTGTGTCAGACTTGCCACGTAGGATCCGAGTGTGAAGAGTTTCGGTGTGTGCAGGTTTTGAGGAGTGTGCAGGTTTTGAGGAGTGTGCAGGTTTTGAGGTGTTTGAGACATCTCAACATCTGTGTGCATGCGATGGTTCAATCATTGGGTGCTGGACTGGTCATATGCTACCTTAATCAATTAACCGGAAAGCTTCAATATTTACTCCTCCTATCACATACCCTGCCACGTGTAGGTTTGTGAGTGGTCTGTGTGACAATCGCCATCGGGCGTTGCCGCGTTCGGCAGGTCACGGCTCATGTGGGCATTCCGGGACTGCTGGTGGATGTGATGCATCGTAAGTAAGGTGGGGAAATGTTACAGTGCAATGGAGATTAAACAGGGTAACCCTATATCACGGTGTATCACAGCAATTCAGCACTGGGTGGGTTGGTTTTGAGGGGGTGGCGGCACATGTGGTCATCCTGCGACTGCTGGTGACGTGAGATACTCTGAGTCCTGAATAGTAATGGTGGGTGGGGTGGGGTGGGGTGGGGTGGGGTGGGGTGGGGTGGGGTGGGGTGGGGTGGGGTGGGGTGGGGTGGTGAGGGTGGGGTGGTGAGGGTGGCGGCACATGTGGTCATCCCGTGACTGCTGGTGGACGTGCGGCACTGTAAGGCCTGAGTAGTGGGTGGTGTGGGGGGCAGGGCAGCTTTTCAAAATATGCTTGTCTAAGCAAGCAGTGATTCTTGGAGTCCCAAGCTGCCAGTGTCAAAATCTGCCAGTGTCGAAACTCTTCGAGCCAACGATCGTTCATCTCCTTTTCCCTCCCCCGTCCCGTCTCCAGCCTTCCCGTTCAACATCGGCTCTCAATGCAACTGCCGATGGCGACATCCCACATACCATCGTTTTCCCTCCTTCCTTTCTTCGCCTCCCGCACCACTCTCCCTTCTCTAGCCCCTTCTCCCACCGTCTTCAGCCCTGCCCCACAATCGCCTGCAGTTGCCAGTGTTGAAACCCCGCATGCTATCCCCACAATCGCCTGCTGAAACCCCGCATGCTATCCCCACAATCGCCTGCTGAAACCCCGCATGCTATCCCCACAATTGTCTCCTTTTTCCCTTTTTCCCTCCGTCCCCCCCACTCTCCCTTCTCCTACCCCTTCTCGCGCCCGTTTCCAGCCCAATCCCACAATCGCCTGCTGCAGTTGCCGGTGCTGCGTCTGGCTGTCACTCAGGTGAGAGGAAGGGGTGTGGATGGTGGTTGGGAGAGAGCAAGAAAGGGGCAGAGAGGGTTAGTGCGACTGGCAAGCAACGGCTGTTTGCCGGCGAGGGAGGGAGGGAGTGTGTTTGCCTGCTACAGTTGCCGGTGCCGCGACTGGCTGTCACTCAGATGAGTGAGTACGAGGGGTGTGGATGGTGGTTGGGAGGAAAGAGAAGGTTGAGAAGAGTTGGTGCAAGTGGCAGGCAGTCACTCAGGTGAGCATGAGGGGTGTGGATGGTGGTTGGGAGGAAAGAGAAGGTCAGAGAGATGGAGGGAGCAGAGAGTTGGGGAATGGAGGGATAAAGAGGAGTGGAGGGGGATGATGCAGTGTTTGAAGTAGTTGCTTATGGAAGGGAGTTGGAGGAGGGGGAGGGGGAGGAGGGGGACGAGGAGAGGGGAGGGATGGAAAGGGGCAGTGCAAAAAGTGGTAGTGGTGAGAATGTGGGGAGGCCCAGGAGGGGAGCAAGAGGAGAAGGAAGCGGGGAGGAGGAAGAGGAGGAGGAGGAACAGGAGGAGAAAGGGGATGCGCAAGAAGAGGGGAAGGAAAAGGGGAGAAAGAAGGACAAGGGCATAGGGATAGAAATGAGTGTATTGGTCAAGAGGAGGAAGGATTAGGCGAGGAGGCGCCTGTTAATGGTGAGGAGGAGAAAGGAGAGAGAGGAGGATGAAGAGGAGGGGGAGGAGGATGATTTGCAATGCATCTGACTGGCACACATGCCTTAGCACATGGCAACCCATCACACGGCGCTTCTCAAGCTCTCCTCACCCGCTGCGCCACGCGCTGCCTGCACGCCCTCCGACAGTGAAGTGGAGATGTGGAGTGGAGAAGGCTTCATGGAGAATGCGGGTCTGGGTGACTTGGGGCGAGATGAAAGGGTGTTTCAGACTGCCACATGCGGAGGTGGAGTGGTGGAGAAGCAGGGAGGGGAGGGGGGGGGAAGTGAAGGCAAGGTGGGAAGGGAGGGGATCCAGGGGCAGAGTGGGGAGGGGGAGGCGAGGGAAGAGAGAGGGGGGGTAACAAGAAGAGGTGGAAAGGGAGAAGGGGAGTGTGAGGAGGGGGCAGAAGTGGAGGAGATGGAAGGGACAGATTTCGAGGAAGGAACCGAGAAGCTTTCGAGGAAGGAACCGAGAAGCTTCTGAGGGAGATGGAGAGGGGGCTTAGCACAATGGAGCAAGTGGTTCGGGCGAGTAGCAGCACGGGGCAGGGAGGAGGAGTTGTGAAGGGAGGGGTTGTGGTTGCGCGGAAAAAAACGGCTGATAACGGGTCGGAAAACAAGGGGGATGGTAAAAAGAGAAGGAAGGGAGGCGTGGGAGAGAGGATAGACGCTGTGAACGGGAAGTGGAAAGGAGAGACAGCGAAAGGAGAGGGGGGGAAGAGGCGAGAGGGAGGTGGAATGGGAGGGGCAGGTGGGAAAAGGAGGAATGTCGCTGAGGAGAACCTTCCAGGAAAGAGGTGGAGGGTTGCGGCTAACTGGGTGCCTTGTGCTGTGGGCACCATGCCGTCCCTAGCTGCCAGCTCCGGCGTTCTCCCGAACCTGGAGCCGCCGCTCGAGGCTGCGAGGAGGTTCGGCGCAGGCCCTGGCTGGGCGTTTGGTCCGGATGGAGGTTCGGGTGGGTTAGGTTTGGACAAGAGAGCATGGGAGGGGGAGCAGAGTGGTGAAAGGGGAGGGAGAGAAGGGAAGGGTGGGGTGGTTGGGGAAGACAGGGCGAGGTGCAGGGAGGTTGATGGAGTTAGAGGGGTTAGAGGGGAAGGGGGCGGTGCAGAAATAGAGGTGGGAGTAGGTGCTGCTTTTGGTAGTGGTGCTGGTGATGGTGCTGATGGTGGTGGTGAGGTGGGTGCGATAGCACAGTTGAAAACGGCTGCAAGCAATGGTCTGTTGGGAGAAGCAGCAACGCTGACAGGTGCACACGTGGAGGCAGAGGCAGATGAGGTGGGAGCTGCTGGGGCAAGTGGTGACCCTGTTGCTGCTTCAGGATACGATTGGGCAGCTTTGAAACATTCGATTGCTCTAATCTGACCACAAGAACACCGGATAGTAATTGTTTTGTTTATCTTCTTATTTCTTCTTACAACACCATTTGATTGTTTTGTACTCTCTGACACCTGTACCGTTAACTTGGTGCAGCTCACCTGCTCTCTGCTTTCTTGTAATTCCTTACTGTTTTGGGACATCAGTACGGTACACCGTACTTCCGTATGCCTACATTTCCTCCGGGCAACTACCGGTAGCATGCAAGAGTTGTGCTCGATGAAGCTCGCTTGTGGCCCAAGAAAAAAGGGCGAGGGAGGTGGTTAGGTTAGGAAGGGATGCTTCGAAGCACATGCATGCAGTGGGGTGGGGGCGGGACCCACACATCTAACCAGTCCCTGGTTTACCTAGCTTGCTCACACGTGCCAGAACAGCCCGACATTCGGCTCTTTGTTAGTGTCCCATCAAAATGGTTCTATGCACAAGCAGGCAGCGTGGTCCCACACAGGTTGGGGTTCCCTGGTTTGAGATCGCTTCTCTTCAGCTTGCTCAGAGCGAAACAACAGCCCCTGACAACCAGTTCCCTGGTAGTGCACCATTGCATAGGTTCTAAGCACAGGCAGGCAGGGGGATTCCACACAGGTTGGGGTTCCCTGGTTTGAACGAGCCTCGATTCAGCTTGCTCAGAGCAGCCGGAACAGCCCCTGACAGCTGATTCCCTGCCAGGCGCACTTGCTGTATCATTCCCAGCCAAACCGCGGGTATTTTTCCCGAAAGGTTGTTGTATGCCAACCCGAGTACTTGCAACTGTTTCATGCTGCTCACACCTGCGGGGATGGGGCCTGAGGGGTTGAGGAGCGGAGGGGACAGATTGAGGGAGTGAGAAACAGGTTTAGGGTTGGGGAAGGTGAGGGGGCCTGCCCCATCTTGCAGCGGAGGGGGATGAGGCCTAATGATGAGGGATGAGGAGAGGGGAGGTTGTAGAATGATTAATGATGGAGAATGGAGGATGGGGTAGGGGAAGCAGAAGAAAAGAGCGGGTAAGATCGGTGCTTGGAAAGCTCAGAAGAAGAAAACAGATGATGAATGGTTCTGAGTGGTTCATATCAGAAGAAAGAAGTCACGCACATGAAAGGAGTGGGTGAGACTGTGGGTTCTAAGTGTCTAAACTAGCAGTTAATTGCATTGACATTAAACTGATTTGGTCGAATCTGCGGTTTTCCAATGCAGCTCACCTGTGAGAGTGTTTCCCCCGAGGGCCAAGAATGTAAGCTGGGGTAAACTGGCGAGGCGTGGGGGAATGCTCCCTGTGAACTTGTTGAATCCGAGGTCCAGAGCTCTGAGATACGTGGGCAGATTCGAAAACGGCTGCAAGCTGCCCGAGAATTGTTGTGGCTCAAAAAGAGGCCATTCCAAAAAGAAATTGAATTAACCCCAAACTTGCAGTTTGCTGGAACGGCTCCTGTGAGGCAATTGCGCGAGAAATAAGTTTGTGCCGCGATGCCCTGGCACACAATCTGCGGGAATGAGCCCGAAAACAAATTGTTTGAAACGTCGATGACCATCACGTCTTTGCCGAAACGGATCGTGTTGAAGTCGCCGGTCAGCCTGTTCCCGCTTACGCTAAAAGTTTTGGACATTATTTGATACCCGCTCAGGTCGCCAGAAAGGCGGTTCTGACTTAAATCAATAGAACCCGGTCTCTTGAGCAGAGCACGAGGAATATTCCCGGTTAGCCGATTCCGGGACAAAAGTATCGCCGACCTGGGGTCCATCAGCGTAGTCGCGAGGGCAGGAGGAATCGGGCCGGACAGACTATTATTCCTGAGATCCAGAGACCATGAGTTAGCCGCATACGCAGCAGGACGTTTTGGAAACCCGCCGGAGAAGAAATTATTGGCGGCGAACACATCACTAAGCATCGGCGTGCGAAAAATGGAGAGAGGAAGAGGACCAGAGAAACAGTTATCGCTAAGCTCGAGGACAACGAGATTTGTAAGCCGGGAGAACGGTTGCGGGACTGAGCCAGAAAGCCAGAGACCATTCAGATTGAGAAATTCGAGATCCGTCAACTGGCCGATAGATTGCAAAGGCGAGGCGTGGGTGGGTGGGGGGCGCTGTTCTTAGAGATGGATAGAAACGTAACACCCTTCCCACCGCAGCAAGCCACGCCGGGCCACGTGCACCCGTTCGGCTTGTTCGCCGGGATAGGTATCAGCGCGGCCGTGAAAACCGCCCTGAGAGCCGTGTTTCTAGCCGCGGAAGCCGCCGGGGACGAGTCACTGCTGGTTCCGCCCACCCCTGCTGCGTCGGACGCAGAATCTATCGCGTAGTAGCAGGGATCAGGAGGCATCTTCGGTACAAGCTGCCTCGATATGGGCTGCCAGCGGAAAGCCGTCGTCGGTGAGCAGTAGAGGAGTAGCAGGAGGAGGCACGCTGTCGTAGTAACGTGAGCGCGCAACGCGTCGTGAAGAACAGTGACGGAACGCGCGACTCGAGGGTGATATACTACATTCGCCATGAGGTGTGACTCCGAGCCAAGCGACTACGGTAGTACTGTAACTTACGAAACTCGTACCGTGAGAAACCAAAACCTACCTCAGGGAGTGTCAAAGTTAACCCGAAAATGAACTTCCATTTCGAGCAAGGGAATATGTAATGCCCAGGGCTATTATAATGGCGGTTACAAGGCTTTTATAATATTCCAATACAAAATAGTAGCTTTAACTAGCCTTAATAGCCTTGGAGATGAAGATCTTCTTGATGCCTTTGATGAAAAGCACTTGGAGTAGTAGTGTAGGGAGACTTGTGAGAGAGCCCAAAAGGACTTAGAGAAACAATCCCATTTCCAATTGTTTTGTTGGAGTGGGAGGTTCAGAATGAGCTTGCTTAGCTCAGACCCCCTCAATACACCCCTTGGGGAACTATCCCAACCATGGTTTCCATGGTGGGATGGTTCCTAGACTTGGAGCCTATGTGGCAATTGTGTTGGGTTGGAAAACCCAACTTAGAACCATTCAATGGTTGTGTTTAGGATAGAGTAGATTGTAACACTTGTTTGGCAGTTTCTGATTGGTTGGAATTCCAACCTTCAACATTCTCTTGGTTGAGTTGGAAATGTTCCAAACCTCCAAAGTTGAGGCTTGGCAAACCCAAACCAAGTTTCATCCCAACCAACTCAACCATCTTCTCCAACTCTTCCTTTGTCGAGAGAAGTTCTCAACAATTGACTTAGAGAGAGATCGATGGTTGTTAGCTCGGTAGTTAGGGTAATACGTTACACTCCTCCCCCCCCAGGTGGCAACGTCCCCGTTGCCCTAGGGTGCTTCTGAGGACGAGTGCTTCGAGCACGGCGCACCACATTACGACCAGGGTCAACCCCGTCCACTGGTTGTGGGCCTGCTCGTAGAGCCAGGTCTTCCATATACGCTTGAACCGCTGCTTCGGTCAAGTGTTCCTCAGGCTCCCAAGAGTTGTGTTCCGGCCCATAGCCTTTCCACTGAATTAGGAACTCACGAACAGTTTTGCGGCCGCGTTGTCGATCACGGTGCGTTAGCACACGCTCGACTTCGTAAAAGAGTTCCTTCTCGAGAGCGATGGTTGGTGGCGGTAAGTACTTGCCTTCTGCAACGTACTTATTCAACAGAGACACGTGGAAGACGTTGTGAATCTGCAATGTCGCAGGCAATTTGAGCCTATATGCGACCTCACCAACACGCGCAATCACCTCGAAGGGCCCAATCCAACGAGGGAAAAGCTTTCGTGCTCCCGGGATCTTGAGACGAATGTTCTTCGTACTCAGTAATACTTTGTCGCCAACTGCAAAAACGACTTCCCGGCGTTTCATGCCGGCATAGGATTTTTGCCTCTGTTGGGCAAGCTGCAGCCAATGGCGAGCGGACTTCAATGCCGCTTGCTGATTTCCAATAAAGTCCTTTGCGGCAGGGATTTTGAGGTTCTTAATCCCATGCGTCGCGGGGGTTGTGGGGTGCCGACCACAGTTCAGGACAAAGGGTTTCTCATGGGTGCTTTCATGCACAGAATTGTTTACAGCGAATTCCACGACTGGCAACAATTCATCCCAATCGTCCTGAGTTGGGCTTATGAAAGAACGAAGCATTTGCTCAAGAGTGCGGTTGGTCCGCTCTGTCTGTCCATCCGTTTGCGGGTGGAACGCAGACGACATCTTGAGTTTCGTTCCGAGTGTCTTAATGACCTCTTGCTAGAACCGGCTTGTGAAGCGCGGGTCTCGGTCAGACACCATCACACGAGGCAAACCGTGTAAGCGGAAAACGTGTGTCACAAACAACTTTGCCGTATCTTCCGCAGACACGTCAGTCGTCGTGGGCACGAAGTGTACCATTTTGGTCAAGCGATCCACAAACACTAGTATCGCTGTATGACCATCTCGCGTCTTGGGGAGATCGGTGATAAAATCCATCGATACACTCTCCCAAGGTTCATCGGGAATCTCAAGTGGTTGAAGCAGACCACCAGGCTTCTGTGTGCTCGGCTTGTTCCGTGCACACGTGTCACATCGAGTTACAAACTGCTGGACCTCAATGCCCAATCCCGGCCACCAGTATACATCACTGAGGGCCCACCGGGTTTTCTTGACACCCAGGTGTCCTCCATACTTAGTGGCGTGCACCTCTGCGAGAATATCATTCCGCAGGTTTCCCACATGTGGGACTACAATTTCTTTCTTGTGCCACCAGAGCTCATGCTCCCACAAGAGATTGTTTGTATTCTGTGGGTTCTGAAACCAAGGGTCAATATCATACCCTGCGCGGATGCGTTTCAGAAAACCACCAAAGGCAATCTCGCTCACTCGAGCAGCTGCGAGGATGTTGAAACAAGCAGCAAACACAGCTTCATGTTCCTTATCATCAACACCCGTTGCTGCCCCAATCGGCTGTCTGCTCAGAGGATCAGCCATGTTCGTCGAGCCCGCTCGATATCGAATATCGTAGGTGAACCCACTCAGGAGTTCAGCCCATCGAGCTTGACGGCGGGTGAGTGTGGCTTGAGTGGCAAAATAGGTGTTC